AAAAACTCCTGAAAGGTGGCAGACTTCTCAGCTTCTTTAGGGGGAGAAAATAAGTGGGGAAAAAAACCAGTAAGAGATATTGATTTACCCTGCTTTTAATGCAAATAAGGATGATAAGATCGCTTATAAGCACACCAGGCAATTTGTTCCACAAAACTATCAACAAATATAAATTAAACAGAGGATGAGTATCTTGTCTTAGAAGCACAATTTCTACAAATTTCAAGAAAACAGGCAGCTGAGTAGAGAGAAACACAGATGCCACCTTTATTATATACCAGGCAACCCAAATGGTAGAAAAATGTCATAAAGGAGAAGGCAAAAGTGGAAAGCTTAGATTCCTGATTTTTCAGGTTTCCCTGGTGGAATCTGAGGGTAATTATCTGCCCTAACTTTAAAATTAAGAGAATTAGAGAAGCTACTCATAGCCTGCCTGGTCCCAGCAGAACCAAGTGTTGCTCTGCAGCATTACAGAGCAAGATTTTCTGTGTGGAAGGATGTGGATATTTACAACACCTTCTGTAAGGTGTGGTGCTCAATAAACCCTCGGCCAGAAAAGCTTTCCTAGAGCAGTGCAGAGTGAGTTTCTGCTCCCTTTCCCTATTCTTGCTCTCCAAGCAAGCAAAGTACAAGCAGCTCCTAACACGGGCCAGTTCAGTCTTCACTGTCAGAAAGGCAGTTTCTTGTGCTATTAATTACAGAGACATGACAGTATTCTGAAAGGCCATCACATTTTCCTTACAGACCAGATCACTGTAATAACCCGGGGGAAAGCAATTTTAGTCTCTGGAACCACTTCTGGACAGTTGCAGCTGTCTTCAGTAAATTAAACAGCAACAGATAAACCCCTTAACTTCGTCACTTAACTGAGGACACAACCACAGGCAGAGCCTTGGCAGATAATTGAGACAAAGCACTGCCTGGAGCCGAAGTGATTCAAACATGCCTTCTGCTCTCCCTTGATCTCTGTCAATCCCTCCACTGCACTCAGCTCATCCCTCAGAACAAAGCCTGTCACTTATTCTCAGCAAAACTGAACTGAGTTACATTAGAAAAAAACCCAAATTACTTGCCACTTCAAATAATCCTAAAATGATGTTGCGATTACACTGTGCAAAACCAAATGTGAGCTTGGCAAATGGGGTGAATACTATTTCATATCATATCCTTTGAAAATAAACTGCAAAACACAGCAGAATCAGCTCCCACAGCAGGACAGCATTTTCACAATAATGTATATTGTTACTTTATTCATTCAGCAGCACTAAATCAAAGGAGGAAAGGCAAAAGAACAGCTTTTGTTCCTGGCTAGTGGAAACATAACGTTTCTTTTACTAAGGCTCTGAATGTTTGTGAGTTGCAATGTAAACCTGAGGTCGCAAGACAAAAACACAAAAGTTTTATGAAAATCTCTGCTCGCTCAGTCGACTTTGCTGACAGTAGGGTACAGGTAACTAATATCCCAAATTATAGATTTGCAAGTCATCGGATTTCCCTTGAGCAAACAACTTCAAAAAAATCTGTCCTTCCAAACAAGGGTTAGTATCAGCAGTCTTAGAGTTTCAAAATGCTGGAAGATAAAGCACAGTTTCAGTGTTAGGAATTAGCCAGTCTGAAGGCAGACACCCCCTCTATACTAACCGTGCCCCGGCATGGGCTCTACTGCAAGGAAACAAAACCAGGTCAGTCAGACAAGCTATGCAACATTTCACCTGTACTAGATTAGCATCTACTACTCTACAATACTTACATTTATTAACCTTCAACTTGCTTCCATCTACTGGAATTGGATCTATGTAATCCCAATAATATTCATAAGCCCAGAAATACTCAGAGGAGTTTGTTCTGTTAGCCATGCCAGCTGTGCATTTTAAGCTAGCTCAGAGCTCCAACCTAATACTTTGCTTCATTGTACTTCAGTGCCCTCAGAAAGAGAATTGCATAACTGATGCCTGTGTCAATCACTCAGGGGTCTCACAGCTCAAGGACTGCTTTGGGACTGAAAACATCCAGTGGCAATGACCATTAACGTCTGGCAGAGATGTAACAGTAGCCCTTAAAATGCAATCCTCCCTTCCTGGCGGACAATTATGTTATTCCTCATCACATATTAAACTGAGATGGATGTCAAGTAACCCAAGATTGGGATGGATAAGTGCCATGTAGGTCACAAACCCTTCCCTCTCAGCTTGTTGCAGCAGGGCACTGCTCCTGAGAGCTCCTGAGCACAGCTGGGCTGAATGACATTCCTGAATTTATCTGCAGGTAAAGAACTGGGGTCTAGAGTGACAGGATCCGAGGGAATGGCTAGAGCTGTGTCGGGGTCTACATATTAGAAGAAGGTTCGTCCCCCAGAGGGTGGTCGGGCACTGGACTGTGGGTAGTGGTCCCCAGGCTCCCCAGGGTAGTGGTCATGGCCCCAAGGCTGCCAGAGCTCAAGGAGCGTTTGGACAATGTTCTCAGGCACATGGTGGGCTTGTTGGGGTGTCCTGTGCAGGACCAGGAGTTGGACTGGATGATCCTCGTGGGTCCCTTCCAACTCAGGATATTCCGTGAATTAGGTGCGACTTGACAAAACGCATTATAAACAAATGATGTGCTGGAATAACCATATACTTTTGCTCGGACTCGACGACCTTAAACCGCACCCTCCTTCCTAGAGCAGACGCGACCCGCTCAGGGGGCGGTGCGGGGCGGTCCCCGGGGATGATGCGGGCGGTGCGGGGCGGTCCCCGGGGATGATGTGGGCGGTGCGGGCGGCCCGGGCGGCCCGAGCAGCGTCACTGCCGCTTCCTCGGCGGGCGATTTGAAGGCCGTGAGGGGCGTCACTGCCGCTTCCTCCGCGGGGTGCGGTGGGGCGGTGCGGAGGCCATGGCGGGCGCGCTGTTCCCGCCGCCCGAGCTGGCGGCGGAGCTGGAGGTGGGCGCCGGGAGCAGCGCGGAGCAGCAGCAGCAGCAGCCGCAGCCGTGGGGGGCGGGCGCGGAGGGCTCGTACAGTGCGGACCTGCTGCCCATGGTGTTCCTGTGCGCCGGCTGCAAGCGGCCCGTGGGCGACACGCTGAGCTGGGTGTCCAACGACGAGGAGGGCGGCTGCATCCTGCTCCGCAGTGAGTCCCGGCTCCGGCGGGTCCCGGAGGGTCCCCTCCCCGCGGGTCCCCTCGCCGCATCCCTCCCTTTCTCCCTTCCTCTGTGCAGGCGCGGCCGCCGGCGTCTCGGTGGACCACAAGAGGAAGCTCTCCAAGCTGCCCGACGAGTGCGGATGGTGAGACCGTGCGGGGGGGTCCTCGCCTGGGCACTGCCCTCCCTGTCCTGGGAGAACCGGGAGGTGCCAGGGAAGGCGCTGAGGACAAGCCCGGTAAAACGGGAGTGCCCGTGTGCCCCCCGGAACACTTATTTGGGGTGGTCTGTGCAAGGTGCTCGTGGATTAGGTCTGTGCAAAGTGCTTATGGATTTAGGGAGAGATACTTCCCTCAAGGGCACGTAGTGATAGGAGAAGGGAAAGGCCTCAAGGTGAAAGAAGGCAGATTTAGATTAGACAATTAGTATTCTGAGAATCCAGGTATTGGGAAACACATAAATAGCCAGGAGACAGAGAAGCTAGCTAAAAAAAAAAAAAACCAACTCTTATTCGAATAAAAGAGAGAGTTCACTGAACAAACCTCAGTGAGATCTCTCAAGCTGGGAGGGAACACAGCCCCCCTTTTATCCTATCTTACCCAAAACACGGGTCCCTCCCTGTTTCTCCATTGCTGAGCCATTCCGGGGTACATTGTATCAAACTGTACCTTCCATATGGAGTTGTCTTGTACTTCAAAGCTGGAGGAGAGGTTCCATGCAGCTGATTGATTCTCTTATTCCTAAGCAAACTACACAGGTCAAACACTGCATAACCAGTAGCTTTCCACTCTCTTACTAAACCAGTTATGACTGTTACAAGTTTTGCAAGAACACTCTGTTTATTCCTCGTATTAGGAAGAAATTCTTCCCTGTGAGGTTGCTGAGGCCCTGGCACAAGTTGCCCAGAGAAGCTGTGTCTGCCCTATCCCTGGAAGTGTTCAAGGCCAGGCTGGAGAGAGTTTGCAGGAATCTGGTCTAGTGGAAGGTGCCCCTGCCATGGCAGGGGGTGGGAGTGGATGAGCTTTGAAGTCCCTTCTATCCCAAACCCTTCTGCCATTTAGTGGTTCTATTAGTCTTGCTGAGGTCAGCCAGCCTAAGGAGCCACTGGGAATGCAGACTGAAAGATGTGCCCATTATTACACTGTGTAAAGCTCTAAAAAATCGTAAAGCATGAATTTTTTTTTTTAGAACAGAGATGTTGTGCTTCCTTTTATTTTCTCCTGAATAAATGTTACATGTCTTACAGCATGGTAGAAACCTTGTTCTGCTCTGGCTGCTCGAGGACACTTGGAAGCATCTACAGGTGCACCCCAAAGCATCTCGACTACAAGAGGGGTTTGTTCTGTTTCAGCATTGATTCTATTGAAAGGTACATGCAGAATGTTTATGGGGAAGCCTGACAAATCCATTTCACTCACCCAGCATCTCACTGAGGGGTGCTGCTGTTATATCTGTGGCATATCCAGATACAAGTGTTTGTGCTGCTCTGTTCCAGAGTGATTTTCTGTATTACTGCTGTTGGCATCATAATACTCAAGAATGAGAAACATCACCTTGTGTAAGACAAATCCTAGAAAAAAAAAGCAATACCAGCCATTGCATGCCATAAAAAAATAATACTAGGTACACAACATAAAAGGGTTCCTTCCCATTTGATCAGAAGAGAGTATGCAAAACAAGCCTGCAGTCATGGGTGGCACCAAATAGGCCTGCCTATTAGCTGTTAGAGGTTAGCATGGGCAGCAGGAAATGTGGGCAGAGGGCTTTAGGCACAACTTGGTGTGGGGTCCAACCTGCACTGGCCAAGTCTGCTCCATCCTTGCTAAGGTGGGCAAAGTATGTGCTTGAGACTCCCATTTAAAAACTGTCCAGAAAAAAAAATGAAGGTGTGCTTGGGTTCAGTTGGTTTATAGCACTTAAAGTGGTCTTAAAATATTCTTCAATAACTATATCCTGAACTAAGGCTCCATGCCAGAGTTCTTTTATGCAAGCATATGCTCTAGTAAATAATGATTGTTTCTCTCTGGGCTGGCTTCCGTGTTTCTGTTTTTTTGTTAAGTTCCATTTATTCTGCTGCATTGACGTGGCTGTTCATCCTCTGGAGTTGTTTCAGGTTTTTTGCCTTCATTCTACAGCTATGATACTTTGTTTTTCCCACAGCAGTAAAATTCTCTGAAGCACTAACCTGGCCACAAAATGGCATTTTCTTGGGCAGTGATGGTGGTGGCTGCTTCTCCCAGCCAGCGCTGCCCCATTCTCCATGTCTGTGTAATTTTTTTCTGTACCCTGAAGCTCCAGAACCCATGGCTGTCTCTTGGGGTTCTGGAGCAGCACTACCTTTGGCTTTTTGCCTTCAGAGTGAGAAGCTCATGCTCTAAACTCTGGCATTTCAGCTATATTCTGGGATCCTCAGAAAAGCAAGCTCTTACTGATGAGGAGCCACTGACTCTTGAAAGTCGAGCTGTCTTGCAAGAGGTGCTGCAAAGGGTAAGATTTAACCTTATATCATTCTTTGTTTAAATCACCTCTGTGAAATCTTAATATCCTTCCATAGCTTCTACAAAACAGCTTATTTCATTCAGAGCAATTCTGTGGGCTGTAACATCTGTTGTACTGCTTCATGCCATTAGTGTACTGTGTTATGCCAGATTTTCAGTAACTTTTCCTTTAATTTTGATGGTAATTAGCAGTTTCTGTTGATCATGCACAGCATTAGATTCCTGTTTACGTCTCAGGAATTTGATATTTCATTCCTGATTGGTTCTGATTCACTTCTCCAGATCTTAACTTACAGCCATGCCTCTTTTGCCTTTTGTGCAAACGGACTGAATGCTTTTGCTGTAACTTTGTACTGAAATGTTACATCATAAATCAAGTTGATGTTTTACTCTGCTGAAAACTTGTGACTGCAGTTAGGGAAGGTTGGGAGCAAATAGCATAAGGAAGTTGACCGTGGAAGCTGATGGTTGTTCCAGCAAAAAGTGAGTGTGTGTCATAGTTCTGGTTGTAGCAAGGAATTTTGTCTTTCCTTTCCCCTTC